TTGTCTGACACTCTGATAGCATCTCCACAGGGATAATGATACTTTCTTTTACAAAGCACTGTGCTATCTGCAAAGCTGTGTGAGAACTAAGTGTTATTATTAGAGATGGGAAAGGCCTATTAGATCATCTGTCCATCTCTGATACAAGAGAAAATGACAATGATTTGCTGCTGTGATTTGACAGTGACTTTGTAAAAATGTCCTTCCCTTTTAACTCTCTGCAAGTTTCAGTGCTGAGTATTCAATAAGCTGGAGAGCCTACTAACTTCATCAGTCTCCAACTTCTACCAAGCATACAAAGGTATTAAATATACCACATTTCCATCTCCTTCCTTCAACTTCTGTTTTCTGAAGAGGAAGAAAAGAACAGTCCTCATGAACAGCGCATGTCAAGCTTCGCAGCATTGGTTCCACTCCCCAGCTGCAGACCGCTTGCATCTCACCCCTTTGCAAGGCAGTATGTAGCATCTCTCCTGCTTGGGACTGTGCATCGTGGTGGAGAGAAGCTGTTGTGCATCTTGCTGGTGGTTTCTAGCAGACTTGCAACTCAAAAGCCATGTACAAACCCGCTGTTTTATGAGCACGCATCCATCATGTAACCTATCCACGGTGGATGCCTGATCAGATAATGCATAGGGTCTTATGTGATGGCAGTCGTAAGAGGTCTGCAGAACTCTTGGTGGATACTAGCAGGTCAAAGATCCTTCTCATGGAATAAGGTTTTGCTTCTCCACTGCTTTCAAGGGAAAGAATTGCTTCTGCTTTTCTTTATATTCCCTAAAATTTCTTGGAAAGTTTGCTACAACAGGTTTTCAATTTAAGTGCCAATATAACAAAATGTCTGGAGGGAAATCAGTTGAAGTATTCAGAAGATGAGTCTCAGTATGATTCACACTGCTGTGAGCAAAGAAGAGGTCTGTCTGGCCTTCTGTACTGGAGTGATAACAGATATTGGATGCAGTGTGTACTCAGATAAAGTTAATGGCAGTGACATCTGGTAGATGACACAGAGGAGCAAACTCCTATCATCTGTTTTTTAACAATCTGTGCCCAAACCATTATATGTCAGACTTGGTAAAAGTGAATAACCTTTCAGTATCTACCACTCTTCCCTCCCATGCTTTCAGTCATATGAGACTGAAGGACTACTAGATAAATCATCTCCATATATTCACAAGGACGGTAGAGCTAAAAGCAGCCAGGGAAGAAGGATTCAAGGTACGCAGCTCATCAGTAGTGGCCTCCCCAATATTTAGCAGTCATTGTACAGACTCGTACGTTCCCAAAGCCCTCTCACAGTCGTAACAAATGCTTACATAAAGCCTTGTACCTTCAAAGTGCTTCACCAGCATAACTATGTTAATAAGATCTTTCCCAGAAGAGAACGCAGTGTCAGAGAGATGCTATTCAAATGGCTGTGCTGTGAGAGGCAGAGCTTCAAATATTCATTAAACCTTCAACCTTTGCCATCAATTTCAAGCCCATTTACAAAAAAGAATGGAAAGTACAGTGGAGTTTTATGAGCAAAAAGAAGAGTAACTGCTCATAAAATTATTTTTCCCTCTATGATTGCAGTGTTAATTAAATTGTATATTCTGTGATGTGCATCAACTGAATTTGACATCAAGTGAAATAAAAATAAGATTTTTATACTCAGTTTAACTGACGCCACCTAGATGGTTCTTTCAAAGTGATTGGTGACAATTGCCACTGATATGCTTTGGTATACATCTTGTTTAGGGGTCATAATTAAAACATTAAGGTTAGTTTGGCATTTGATACTTAATTGCAAACATATTTAGAATTCTAGTTAGTGCTAGGTTGTTAAGAACTGACAAACCTACCTGTGTACCGTAAGAGCAAAAAAGGAAATAAAACATGTCATTCTTCAAATATTGCAGACCACGTACAGATGTGCTTTTCAAGGACAAATTTTTTACACAATTATAACATGTACAATAGTCTACAAAAGACTTTTTTGGTAGTAGTAGAATTACATTTGTCATACAGTTTTGGATGAAATCCAGTTGCTTAGGTTTTAACTTGTTTTTCATCATGTTTTCTTACAATTAGTACGCCAGACTGCCATATCATGTTCATGATCACTATCAGAAGACAAGCATGTGTTTGTTGCTATACATCTGGCATAGGTTAATCATGTTAGCCTTTGTATGTGCAGTACTGTGTTTGCTTATTCTGAAGCCAGGGTACTTCGTGGTTGCAGCTGTATCTGCTGTGAATTCTGCAATGTCTGCTGTGTCAGCTGATAACAGGTTTATGGAGATAGGACCTTTGCCATTCCTCTCTGTCCCCTATTTATCACATAAAATGTACCAGAATTTGGCATCTTTGCTGTGGAGCAGGGGCCAGAACATCGAAGACGATGAGGTACCTGGTAGTAGTCAAATATGGAAATGAAAGAGATATTTTGTGTGAAACACAGCTCCCAAGTCACTGACAGATGAAACTCTCTTGGTTCTTGGTAGAGATTTCTTTTCCAAATTGGGCTAAGTAATTCTTTGAATCAGGCTCAACATATGTGATGTGCAGAAGCAGAGGTTCCGTAACAGCGCAAAAATAAGTAAAGATTGTTTGGATTAAATATACTTGCTTTACCTACATCTTGAGTTACTAGTTTCTGTGGCGTCACTTCTTATTTGTACAGTGAGCTCAGGAGCTGTTGTAGAAAAACTACAACTAGTATATAGAAAACTAAGATTAATAAAGTCTCCAATTAACCTAAGTTATGATATTTTTCTATATTTATTGGATATCTTGCATGCTTATGAGCATGGAGATGCAAAAATGAAACAGGAGACACCCCATATTATGAAAAAAATATTTAGGGAGTTGGTGTAAGCACAATTTTTCATAGGATCATATTGCCTATCTTCTTATTAATAAAAAAGTCACACATTGGTAGCAACTTCAAAAAGGCCTTATGAAAACACTTTACAAAAACGACAATGTTTTCTCTGCACATATAGTACCTGAAATGTGAAGAAAGGTGAGGGAAGATGCTCAAATGGGAACTAAGAAAAGCTAGTTTCTTCTAGCTAACATGACTGTCATGCAAATATATTTGCATAGACAAATGACAAACACATGTAAAAATACAAATCCGTCAGTTCACTTGGGCTCTGAAAGCACAAATCAGGTACAACCTAGATTTTGTCTCTACTGCAAACTATGCAAAGCTCTTGTAACACTCTTCTAATATCCAAATACTTTAAGAATTATTTAATTGTCTTCTTCTGTTTTAATAAAAAGTTCTTTCCAAGCCAGAATGCATTTTTGGAAGTAGCTCACACTGTTCAGTATCTATGTCAAGCATCGTTATCATTGCTTTGTATTAGTAGGATATGAACTTTATGAACCAACCAAGCGACTGAGCCTGGGGTTACTGTGGACATGAGCTAGAAAACTCAAGAGGCATTGTTCTGTGCCACAACAGATGAAACCCCAAACTTATCTATACTGTGTTATCCGTCAGCTGCATATGGGGATATCATTGTTTATGTTATAAAAGCTTAAAGTTATACTAAAAAGGTAAAGTCTCCATTTCTCTTTGTGTAGTGTTTGGCTTATTTTATGTGTTCTGAAACAGAAAAACATGAAACACTTTAATATCACATAAAATAGTGCAATAAAAGTCCAATTTGATACTTAATAAAGTTTGGAAATATTAATACACTCCAATTTCACATTTCTAGCTTTCTGGTATGCTGAGGCCTTAAAAGAACAGGGCCCTTAAACTGCAAACTTCATTTTTCTCTTTTTTTCATTTTCATCTTTAGCTCTAAGAGTGGAAGAAAAATGCCCCATATAGCATGGGTACCGATGTCACATGCAATAAGAGAGCCCTGCAAATGCTGTCGCTACGAAACAATGCCATGCAGAACAGTCTCAATGTAGCAGTGGCTTTCAAATCAATAGGCAGTAGAAGAAAGTAATCTGAAAATATAGCTTTTTAAAACAAAGACTCAAAAAGGCAAGACTGAATTCTACCTTTTTTGAAAATCTGAGAAGGCCGCATAGCTCAGTGTCTGCTGAATTTTTCACAACTTGTAGTCTAAATCCAATATTCAGGTTTTCATCACTCTTATTAAGGAAAGATTTTGTCTAGAGATTGTCCCTTTAATTACAGAAACTAAGGTTCAAATCCAAAGCAGCTTATTAACTAAATTAGACAATAAGGAACTCAGACTCAAATTCCTTCTTTTCCCATCAGAGAACTGAAGCAGGCTGTGCACTCTATTATGAGTGGGCAGATATTATCTAGCAATCAAAAGGAAAAATAATGTAAAGCTGAGTACAAAATGCTCTTATAATAAGCAAAAAGGTGGATGTGCCAGTATGAACAACCTCACAGGACGCACAAATTAGTGATGAAATATTTCCAAAAAGTGTCTTGTGTACATGTAGCACTATACCTACTAAATAATGAACCCATAGGATGCTGGCACAGAGAGAAAAATAAAAAAGGTGATTAATATTTGAGTGAGATCCCATTCCAAGGTCTTTGTCAAATGCATGATTCTAATCAATGGATATTATTGTATAGCAGCTCAATACAACCTGTAAGGTATTTCAATGAAAACCTACCATTATCTTCATGCACAATAAGATGCCTTGAAATGCAAACATTGAGAATGATTAGGGTCACAAAGAAGCCTAAATGCACACTGCTCTTATAATTCAAATGCAAATTCTATGTACCTAAACTGCCTCAATTCAAGAAAAAGTCAAACTCATGAAAACTTTCTTAATATGTTGCATAAAGTATCAAAAAGATTAAAAATAGGATTAGCAAAGGAGAATGTACCATTCAATGAGTATTGGAAAAGATGCTTATCGAAAATTTATCAGGTGAAGTAAGTCTGAGAAACGCTGATAACAGATGGGAGCTGTCTTGGGGAAAAAAATGTTGCTAGTTTGACTGTTTCTCTAGCTGAGGATAAGAGTGTCCTGGGGGAAAAATAAAGCCTGATTTTCCTTACCTCTTCCTTCTCTGCACTTTGCAAGTCCCTCCACTCCTCAGTGACATGACCGAAGTCCACTGTGTTCATCGCAACCTTATATTCCCCAATGATATCATGTTTGGAGAAACGATCAAAGTCATAAACTGCCATCACCAAAGTTTTTCCACCCAGCTCGGAGTACGGCACCTACAAAGTAGAGAAAATGACAAACTCTCTATCTGAGACAATAAAGATCAGTACACTACAATGCAAATCTATTTCTTTGGTTTATCAGCTGTCATCTCAGGCAAATTGAACTACAGAGAAAATTATGAGGTGTATTTGTTTCAGAGTCACCAGATGCAGTATTTTTTGAGACCAGGCTCTGGCACTCAATAGAACAATGTGGCAGCTCACTCATCACTCCCCAGGTTTTTCTCATTCTACTTCAAATCATTTTGTGGGTGATGAAACTGAAACAGGAAGACCAATTATTTGCACTGAAGACACATGAACTTTTCACACAATGGTGTCTTTTCCTCAATAAATCAACTGTCATCACTCAGAAATGGGTAGCTCCTAGACTGATGGAAAAAACAGAACTGGTTTACTGTATATGACACAAAGTAATTAGACACTAAATAGTTCTCCTACAGTTCCACTACCTATTACTTACCAAGGCATATTTTTCATTATTATACCTTTCAGACTGTAGACACTAAGGTGCTTTCTAAGTCACAGTGTACAGCTAGAAATTGTGGTGGCAGTAGGCCAAGTTCTGACTAATTCTCCAGCTGTTCTGATGTGTTTCAGACAGATGCTGCGGGTTAGGACGCTTATGAGTCACATTTTTAATATTCAGATGAAGACGGGCAGTTCAGGTAAGATACACGTGAGTGGCTGCCTGGAGAGGTCCGATTTAGGAATTGTTTGGACTTACATTGAACACTTGGTCAATCTGAATATACTGTGCAAGTACAAATGGCTTCCACGCGTTTCAGTAAACATTTCTCTATTAATTGTCTACATAAAAAGAGAAATGAAAAGCGTGGTATTATCACTGGCCTTGTTAACCTCTTTATGTTCCAGTCTGTTTAAACTCTAGGACTGTTGTCTTTTGTTACTGTTCGGCTTCAGCTTGCTTTTTAAAATACTTACTAATAACATGAGTAGTTTTCCTTTCTCATAACATCTTATATAATGTTTAAAGGAAGCTTTTCAAGTTGAAAGCTAGCTCCAGCTTCCATTACTGAGTACAATAGTTTCAGTGGGTATAGGGTTGTGTATTGTAGTAAATACTATAGCAAAATCTGTTTTGATTCTGTAAATTATTTACAGCTTCTAAAAAGCTATAGAAGGTAAATGGAAGGTATGTGGAAGGAAAAATTCAAAATAATTTCATTTTTATTTTTATGCAGCTTCAAAAACAGGGGAAGAGAAATGCTCTAAAGTTTCTTTCTCCATCAGTTTACCATACCACTTAATGGATCCTGGTCATTTGGAATGCATGAAAAGACTACATTTATCATTCTTGACTTTTTTTTTTTAATCATTAACTTGACCTCAGTAAAGCTTATTTTAGCTACCTTCCTTTTAAAAGAAGATCTAGTGGCAGTGCTTCCTCCATTCATTACCTCTAAAGTAGTCTCAGCCTCCAGCTTTGTTCAGGACTACCAAGGACGTCCTCAGCTCCTACAAAGAATTGCTCCCTCTCCCCGCTTTCTGCTCTGCTCAGAGATACTCAGCCTCTCGACTTAATGCAGGTGAGACCTTGGTAGAAGGACACGTATCAGAGTGTTTTTCTGGCACAGACATGCCGTTCCTCTAGATATGAACCCTCTTCCCACTTTGGGCCTGAGGAGGAACACCTCCCTCTGCCAGACCAGGGTAGTCCAGCTAGGATTTCTCAGTTTTCTTTTGGTAGCACAGTGTGGGTATAGAATTGAGACAGCTGGGGCCTAACAAACACCTGTCCTCTGGAATGGCACCATGGATGTCTGGGAAACAGAAATGAAAAGGGGAATATAACACAGGGAACCACCTAAAGAAGGGAAGGAACGAGGTCCAGGGCTCAAGATGCAACACAACAGAAACACCACCCCTCTCATGCCCATTAGCCTTTCTCTGGGAGGAAGGCAGGCAGCTCAGAGCTGTGCCCTGGGAGAAGGCAACAGAAGGGGCCTGGGCTGCCTGGTGGGCAGCTCTGCCAAGGAGAGAGATGGAAAGGATGCCAAGAGCAGCTCTGCATCACCTGTGGGTCACAGAAGTAAGGCTCTGCCCACGTAAACGAGCTATCAACAGTAATTCCCGTGGAAATTATTTATTACAGTTGCAGCACTAGTTAAATGGTTGCTTGTCTTTTTCACTGTAGTCCCCAGAACAATGATAGTACTTGGCATGCCCCGTTGGTTTTCTCTTGAGTACAGACCACAGCATCCAGGGGATGATCAGTACCATATTCAGATGCACCTAAACACTCTGTCAGGTCTTGTGTGGAAAGTAAATTTTCTTCTGGAGCATAAAATTTGAATATTAAAGTTGTGACTTAAAACAAGTGGACATTATAGCCCAGGAGTGGATGATCTGATTTACAATTTGTGCCTTCATCTTAGATGACAGCATTATTGGTCCTTTCTTTTCTTTTGTAAGCTGCACAGGAATCTGTAATTTATAACTCTGTTTTCTTTTAAATACTCTCTTAGGAAAGCTCAAGAAAAAAATAACTCTCCACAAAAGATTATTTTTATGAACATCTTCAAGGAAAAAATAAGCTTATATATGCAGTAGTAGTTCTGGCCTCCAGGGATATCTTTCTCATTGAATGATTACATAGCCTGAGTCTTTCACTGTTCCTGTTTTCAATCTGTAGCTGTCATTATAAGATTGGGCATAGAGAGAAAGGCCTAAAGTAACAGCAGAAGAATGTATAGTAGGAGAAGCCCTATGGAACGTGATGTATAGCATTCCTTTATTGTATTAAACTGGGGTTTAGATACAGCTGCAGTTTTAGAAAACCACTATTGATACATACTATTGGAAAGACTTAAATATTGAAACATAAGGCTTAGCTACATTTATTTAGTTCATATGTTATTAAACCTGAGACATGATTTCTTTTCATATGTAAAGTAGCATGGCAAAGAATTGCTATGACAAAGTCTAGCAAGATTAATCTGCCATGTTGTCCTTCAGCTATTTACCTTCCTTGAGTTTTAATTTATTTTTGAGGGGAAAAGAAATGGGATACTACAATTCATAAATCAGACTACAAAGATATTTAAAGAAAATGCTGGTCTAGTGAAATTTACCTGGCATTTGTCAAAGTGTCACTGTTTTCTGACTTTCTGGTAAGTTTTATCCAGCCATAAAATATGGATCAGATTGTCATACATTAGGATAACTGAAATGCCTAACATTAAACTGTGCATTTTACACCAACTAAGGTCTGACCCTATGTTATACCATTTTCATCATAAGATTGAATATCACAGGTTTCTGCAACACGAAAAATGACTGTGCTGCAGTTATCAATTAACTATGACACCCAACTTTGTAGCCAAGTGCGAGATACATAGTAGTCAAATAAAAAGTTTCAATAATTATCAAAAAAATACCTTGAATGTAAATTGCTCATTGAAAACAGGGTTAAGGGTCTTTCTGTGGACTTTTGTCTCGTATTTCTTCTTCTTATCAGGCAGCAGGAAAACTTTCACATAGGGATCAGATGTACCACCCATATCTAACGCAGGCAGCTCAGCTGCTTGAATAATTCCAACCAGAAGCTGAAAAGAGAGAAAAACAGCAGAATAAAATTTCAAAAAGATATTTATAAAAAAACTGTAACAGATAAATACACATGCAGACTCTATTTCTGGTCTACGAAAAACTACTCTCTCCTTCTTCAAGAAAGGCAAATGAAGAAACACTTCATAGACTTTAGAAAACCAATTATGGCAGATGCAGACTGTACAAAGGCTGTTTTTAAGCAGAAAAGAGGTTTTCAAAGGGCAGCTGATTACAGCTAAATACAGACTTCATCTTTTTAAAGACTGCAATCAAATAACTTTCAATTGCTCTCTCCTCTTGTGCATTATTTTTCTATGCTGAGCACCATGAATAGAAATCACATTATTAAACAATCAGGAATGTCTAATTTTGACTACGAAATTTGTATTCTAAATCCCCAACATGTAACCTTCCCCCCAACCAAACACACAAAGGTGATATACCAAATGCAAATCCTCAGGCAGATCTTTATTGAAAAAAAATGGATCTTGCAGTCTTCCTTATATTTAACTTCTCTTGTTACGTATACAAATGGGTTGAGGTAGTAAACTAAGAACAGTACGTGTAAAAAATACCCCATGAAAACTAATCTTTGGTAACTAAATCCTAATAACAATTTGCAATCTTATTGCAAAACAGAAAAATTAATTTCCTAAATCTCTTATACACTTTAAAAAATAAGACTGAAGCACATTTGAAACTGTAAATGCCCTGGCCACTTTTAAAGTGTTATAAATGCAGACTTATGTTATGTTATGTCATGCTACATTATCTAGACATCCCAGCCTGTATTAGGCCTCATCAGCCCAACAGAGTTGAGAAAAAGAAAATACTTTTGATCTTGTTTCATTGATACAGAACTAAGGTAAACATTGAACTGACTCTTCAAGGTCAATCTGGAGACAAGATATTAAGAACTGGGAATGAAATCAGAGAATATTTTCTTCTAAATCAGTGCTTCAGTCACAATATATTTGCTTCTCTTATGGATGAATTGTTTAAAATTGGAAACAGAAGCTCTAACAACTGCAATACAGAACAATATAATCAATCTAGGAAAGAAGCTTCTGGCTTCTCAACTTCCTCAAGGTTGGACTTATTTTTACCTATCTTAAATTCACAGTATGGTCTGCATGCTTTCCCACCTATAGGACTCTTAAGCTCCATGAAACATTTTCCTTCAGCTGTAAGAAACATTTCTCCATTTCTGTCTCATTCTTATTCTAGATGCATAACTGTTCATAAATACATGGATAGGCTCAGGATCTACATCAAGTCTTTCACAGGAAGGAGTGAAAAACAAGTCTATGACTTTTAGTTAGCAGATTGGAAAAGCAATTCAATTCTTTTTTAAAATTTCTCTCTCTAAAACTGAGGCATCATGGTCTGGGGAGTACATCGGTCATCTTGTCTCCATTCTTAACCCTGTGCAATATATTAGCCAGATACTTGGTCTGTAGTTTCATGCCACTGTGCTATACTAACCTAACTGAATCCCCTCTTCTGCTCTTTTATATCAACTATCCTCTGACAAATTCCAAGCTGCAACATAGTTTAGAGCAGCAAAATAAAAAAGGAATTCATAACTCAAATAATGTGTTACCTTAATCAAATACTACACACTTTCACAGATTTGTTGCTCTCCCATCCTATTTTCCTTTTGGATCGATGGGCCGAGGTCAACTGTATGAGGTTCAACAAGACCAAGTGCCGGGTCCTGCACTTTGGTCACAATAACCCCATGCAACGTTACAGGTTTGGGGATGAGTGGCTGGAAAGCTGCCCGGCAGAGAAAGACCTGGGGGTGTTGGTCGACGGCCGGCTGAACATGAGCCGGCAGTGTGCCCAGGTGGCCAAGAACACCAACAGCATCCTGGCCTGTATCAGAAACAGTGTGGCCAGCAGGACTAGGGCAGTGATCATCCCTTTGTACTCTGTGCTGGTGAGGCCGCACCTTGAATACTGTGTTCAGTTCTGGGCCCCTCAGTACAAGAAGGACACTGAGCTGCTGGAGCGTGTCCAGAGAAGAGCAACAAGGCTGGTGAAGGGCCTGGAGAAAAAGCCTTATGAGGAGCGACTAAGGGAGCTGGGGTTGTTTAGTCTGGACAAGAGGAGGCTGAGGGGAGACCTGATCGCCCTCTACAATGACCTGAAAGGAGGTCGTAGTGAGGTGGGGGTCGGTCTCTTCTCCCCGATAACTAGCGATAGGACAAGAGGAAACGGTCTCAAGTTGCGCCAGGGGAAGTTCAGGCTGGACATTAGAAAGAACTTCTTCATTGTTAGAGTTGTTAGGCATTGGAACAGGCTCCCCAGGGAGGTGGTGGAGTCATCATCCCTGGAGGTGTTCAAAAAACGTTTAGATGTGGTACTTCAAGACGTGGTTTAGTGGACATGGTGGCATCAGGTATACGGTTGGACTTGATGATCCTTGAGGTCTCTTCCAACCATAATGATTCTATGATTCTATAATATAGTTCACAAAATCAACATTTCCTTTATTAAAATTCACACAGAAAGTTTGTTTTCATAGTCTAAGGAAACTGAAATCCATTTGTCAGAACATGTTTGCAGCTTTTCCTTTCCCTCTCTTTAGATCTTCTGCTTCTGACAGGTCTAATGCTTCATACTGATTTCATACTGATTTCAAGGGGGATCTGTGTGACTCATCACATGGCCAGGGAATTTGCTCTGGGAGTCAAGGAAAAGCTCCTTTAACCACAGTTTCTTGAAAGACTTCAGAATTCTTTTTGGCTCTTGCATTGAAAAACAAGCACTGGTAGTCAGAAGACAGTTGAAAATACAGGGAAATACTATGTATTACACCAGGGCATAGCTGTGTGTAAATACCCTATTGCTGACATTTTTCTTAATTTCTCTTATTTTCTTTGTCTTGCAACAAGTAAGCATACTGCATTCCGTGAACAGCATCAAATAAAGAACCTGAATGCGGAAATAAATCGCAGGTACATGTGGAAATCAGCTCAGATGAAGAATAGGAATCATCAGGGATTTAAGTTCAGTAGTCAATTCTTTCCTTAAATAGAGAAGAATGACGTGGTTTTGACTGAAGCTGTCAAAAAATGAAATGCAGGATACGTATTCCCAAGCTCACTGAAAGACACGCAGTAGAAGTGAAGTGAGATGTGTTGGTGTGCTTCAGTCTAAAGTTAAGCACAGTGAGTTTTAATGTGAGGCTGTGAACTGGTACAATTGACAAAAGTGATGCCAACCACAGCAAGAGGCCAGGGAAGGGAATTAAATATGAGCTAGTTCAGGACGTGGCCAGACCTGTTAAGTAGGTCGATTCTAGGTCTACATCGCATTACAGTGTCTATTCCTACTGAAAACTTGGGTAAGTATGCCAAAGTTTGGTCTTATCAGCTTCAGAGTAGGGTACTGAATGAGTATCAGTCCTTGATTGAAGAGATTCTTCTTCTCCAGCTTTCCTGTTTTTTTTTTTTGGATAGACCTTTTTATTTGGACTTTTGTTCCAAACTAGAATTTTCTTGGCTAGTAGGTGTACTTTCATGGAGGGCCACAGAACCTGATGTAGCTAGTTAATAAGGCAAAGTGTAAACTTGTTGAAGTGAGCGAAAGCTACTCCTGGCAATCTTACCAACTTTCTAAAAGACCCACAAGAAATCAACTTGCTTTTATGTCCCTCTCTTTTTCCTCACATCTTTTGTTTGCTTACATTTTAAATACCTGAAGGCTGAAGATATCTTTTACTGTCTGCATGCATACTCCATAATATAATGTGGGTTGACATTGATTGGTGATGCCTTAATGTAAGTTCTTAATAACCATCAGATAAAACTGTGTATTCAATTTTGATTAAAGGTATAATATAAACTCCAAGTACATTTAATACCAATTTAGTAGTACCTCTGGCATGAATCTTCAGTCTGGCTTTCTCCTTTTACTTCGTGCAAGCAGTAAGGATTTCAGAAACATCTACTTCTAACTAAACGTATTACTTCATTCTCCCCTTGCACACACAGAAATGAAATGTTACACGTTGGTTGTTTCAAACCTGATTGTTCTGGAAGTCATAATCCAAAGAATATTGGATTTTCCCTAGTTTCTCCACTTCTTTGGGTTCTTCTTTCTCTTCCCCATCAGTCAGCCCAGTCTCAGCATCATCATCCTTAAGAGCCTAGAAAGAAGGAATGTAATACTCATAAACAAGGCAAACTCTTAAGTACCAACTTAAAACAGACACCGTCCTCAAATCTATTTTAAAGCCACTAAAAGCAAGCATGACAGCAGAAATCCAAATATGCAGTTTACATATATATTTGTACTATTTAGGTTGCTCAAGAAGATGTTATAAATCAGCAAGCAAGCAATGGAAGTAGGAAGAAAGCTTCTTGGACTATTCAAGCAACGATTGTTATAAAACCTGAAAGTAGAAACAAAATACCAACTCGATATAAAAAAATTCTTCTGGGTTTACACCGGTTCTTAAAGAGGCACACGGAGGCAAACATGCTATTAAATGAGCAAGGTCACACATTCACTCAACTTAAGAATATCTTGGCAATGTCAAACCTGGTTGTGCATGCTGTGAATTGTTTGCAATTGGCAACATGTTTCTGTAGGATTACTATGATAAAAGGCATGTGCTGTGGATGAGTTCTTCCTACAATCATACGCCAAACATTTTTCATGTTTATTTAGAATGAATATGGAAGCAAAGTTTTCACCATGCCATTAGCAAATGCACGTTTCTCCTTCTCCCTCCCTCCCGAGACCAATTTCCTTTTTATTCATTCCTGC